GTTGAAATCATTGCATTAGAGATTTGCCTCATGCTATTGTGAATAAGAGTAACATTTGTAAAAATATGAATTTTATAACAATATTTCATTATACAAGATTCAGAATTTAAAATTAATGACATGGAAATTCTAGACAGCACACATCCATTGTCTGTACAGTTGATTATTTGCAATCTGTTAATTGTTGAATATTTTAATCACATATACATGTAGTTATACACCGTTCTAGCTATAGATTCTAGCAACGTAAAATACATGTAGTGTCTTTATTATAAAAATGGATATTAGTACATAGGCGGAAGCAGGGTCGGGCATGGACGGGCAATGCCCGACCAAAAATTTTGACCGGAAATGAAAATTTAATTAATGACATCATTTTTAATCATGAATAATTACCATGGCTAGCAAGAGACAGTCTTTTCTGCTTTCCTTTGTCAATAAGCCTTCCAGGAGAACCAGGACTAGCACTTTACAGGTTGGATAGAGCTTTACAGATAAGATAGGGGGCCTTTTAGGCGCATTTTATGCTATATCATATTGTATGCGTGCTTTGAGTATATGCCCAAAACAGGCGGGGAAAAGTGGGTGTGGTCAAAATCGCGGCGCGCTTTGCGCGCCATTTTTTGCCCAACCCTTCTTCATATCCTGCCGCCGCCTATGTATTAGTATAAGTTTGCAAATTTCTATAATTGTACATCACTAATTTACAATTAAAATTGTTAATGCCATTGTTAACTGTAACTAACCATTATGCATGTGCATAGAATGGTTGAATAATCTAACCTTTGAAAAATGCTTTGGTATTGTCATTTTCTCAGCCCAGTTATTAAAAGGAATTTCACTAGAATTCTCAGTGACATGACTGACGTCATGAGTACTCCTACTAACATCTTGCGCCTAATAAAATGATATATGTTTTTAATTTTCCATACTTTTAATATTACGCATTATTTACTTAATATTATTTTACTTAATGACTCACCGTTGAATCCAAACTATCAGACACATAACTTGGCGAACTAAATGAAACCGGTGATGATGCAAAATTACATGTAGATGGCTCAAGTGATGAAGAAATGATTTGCTTCAGACGAACTCGGTCTCCAAGGAGTGGTGCTATTTCTCTTAAATATTCTTCATTTAGTTGAATGAAGATTTGGCCATCAATTTTATGCCTTCTTATATTGTCACTGACAGCTGCTTCTAGGCCAGGAATTTCTTTCTGAAGTAAATCAACCAGGCCATCCACACTGAGAGAGTGTATTTGTGCCATGCCTAAGGTACTGGAAGAGGAGCAAGTCGGTAGAAGATGCAGTTATTATTACTTACCAGTAGCCACTCAGTAACAATGATTAGCACTACACTCACTTATCAGGCGCTAATACAGAGTCTTAAAGACACGTGAATGACGATTGACCGCGTGATGTGATAGAGATGAGTAAGGTGTGTCCTTGATTAAACATCTGCATGGCGAGGGCTTTACACTCCTGCTCATACTGCTCTGATTTTGTTGCCCCTACCACGAAGCGATTGCTGAGGCATGTGAAGTTAGTTCACTCACAAGAACCTGGATTTAAAATACGATGTTCATATCCTCACTGCTCCAGAAATTTCTCCAATTACAGAACCTATCAAAACCACTTAATTCGCCATTGTAGGCAGAGGCTTACTAGAGAGTACCCAAATGAAGTCAGCGGCAACGAAGAGGGACGTACTGAAGAGCATGGAGAACCAAATGAAGAGGTACAACCAGACACTACTGCTTTAACTGAAAATATTGCTAATGACGTCAGGAACTTTTGTGCCAAATGGATTTTGAAGACTTCCGAATTGAGGAAACTCACCAGGAAGGCCTCCCTTGGCATCGTCGAAGATGTATCAGGTTTGATAAGGCAAATATGTTCTATTCTGCATCAGCAAGTGTCACGTCATTTATTAAGAAACAACATCAGCATCACTGATGATTTGATGGATATTTTTTCTGAGAGCAATGATGTGATAACTCCTTTCAGATCATTAACAACATTTCATCAGCAACTTAATTTTTACAAGGAAAATTTCAATTTAATAGTTAGTCAAGTAAAATGTAAATATTTGTTTTAATATTCATTTTATTGAACAGATGCCAAGAAAGGAAATTATTTCAGAAAAACGTTTTCTCTTTACAACTTGTGGAGGCAAACATAAAGTTAAGGTGCAAAGAGAAGAAGTGTTTTATGTACCAATAATTGACACACTTAAGCAAATGCTGCAGAACAAGACAATTTTGAAAGAAGTTAGTACAATGGAAATCTGATTAACAATATCAGCAAATTTTCTTACAGGTAATGATGTCTCATGTCAGTGACAATGATAGCATTATGGCTGATTTTTGTGATGGGACACATTTTAAGAGTCATTCCTTATTCAGCGTTGATCAATCAACATTACACTTGCATCTCTATTATGATGAGCTAGAGTTGTGCAATC